TGAGGCCAATACTCTTAAGGATAATGGAGCTGTGAGCTGGATGGAGCCTGTGTCCCTGAAGAGATCATGAACAGAGCCACTAGACCCGTCGTTGGCCACCTACTTCTGTACTTTCACAGGAGAGAGAAACAACTATCTTAGGTAAGCCACTATTTGGGGGGACCTTGATTACTCTTGGTTGAATCTACTCTTAACCTGTACAACAGGAAAAACACTTAAGTGATATCATAGTAAGCAATTCAACAACTGTTGGGTAAGCATTATTATTGTTATTTTGCATTAAATAATGGATGAGGAGGCTAAATCACAGTTGACCTGGCATAACAGGGGTTTGAACTACACAGGTCCCCTTGCATGAGGATTTTTTTCAATAAATACAGGGCAGTACTGTAAATGTACTTTCTCTTCCTTATGATTTTCTTAATAACATTTTCCTTTCTCAAGGTTACTTTATTGTAAGAATATGGTTTACAATACACGTGACAGGGGCGCCTGGGTGGCTCAGTCGGTTGGGCGACCGACTTCGGCTCAGGTCACGATCTCGCGGTCCGTGAGTTCGAGCCCCGCGTCGGGCTCTGGGCTGACAGCTCAGAGCCTGGAGCCTGTTTCGGATTCTGTGTCTCCGTCTCTCTGACCCTCCCCCGTTCATGCTCTGTCTCTCTCTGTCCCCAAAATAAATAAACGTTAAAAAAAAAAAAATTTTTTTTTAATTATAAAAAAAAAAAATACAATACACGTGACATAGAAAATAGATGCTAATCGACAGTTTCTATCACAGAGAAGCCTTCTGGCCAACAATAGGCTATTAGTAGCTATGTTTTTAGGGGATCAAAAGTTGTACACGGATTTTTGACTGCACAGGGCGATCAGCACACCTGACCCCCCATTGTTCAAGGGTCAGCTGTAAAAGAGAGCTATGGAAAGCAGAGGAAAGAATTGTATCAGAACGCCAGGTTGAGGCTGGTTATTAAAACTTAGCTCTGAGTTGCCTGGCTGCTTCTACTTTGAAATAAAGAGAAGCCTTCTCAGCCTTTTGAGCAGAGGTTTCCTGTGGTGCAGGGGGTTTTGTAAGGCGGTTGAGTCTTGCACTCCTGGATGGGGAAGAAATAAGTTCATTAAGGAAGCCATTGCAGGAACCCAGGTAGGAAGTGTTAAAGGATGATGGCAGTGGAAAGGGAGTCAGGGAACAGATATGGAAGAGAATTCAAAGGAGCTAAAGAGGACTTGACAAGAAAGAACTATGGGGATAAAGGAAATGCAGATGTCAGATATTACTGAAGCTTCACATCCAAGCAATTATAGTAGTTGCTTCCTTCAGATGTCTGCTACTAAAATGCTGTGTAACAAACAATGCCATAATCTCAGTGCATTACAACAATAGGCATTTACTTATTGCTTATGGGCGTGCAGGGGGCTATGACTCTCCTGGGTGAATGAAACTAGCAAAGTGTGGCTCCAAGCTGCCAGTTGTATTCAGGTCTGTTCCAAGTGTCTCCTCATTCCGAGAGGCTATCCAGGCAACTTCATCTTGTGACAGGTGGCAGAAATGCAAGAGACTAAGCCAAGCCATGAAGGCATATTTAAAACCCCTGCTCACATCACTTCCACTAATTTCTATTAGCCAAAGCAAGTCATGTGGCTAAGTCCAAAGACAATGGGGCACGGAACTATCAGTCAACTCTTCTGGTGCTGGAAGTGTCACATGATGGGAGGAACAAAGACTAAGGACCAATAACCCAATCTGCCATCACAACTAAAATAAGAGTGATACCCCGACATGGAAATTCGCAGTAGGGCATTAGGTTTCTTACCACAAGGCACACCTGGGCTATGACAGACATCTGACCAGCCGATGGGTTTTTTTCCCCCTGCATTTTTCATCTTTCCCTCATCCCCTCACACACTACAGATAGGGTCCTGCTGTCTGTCCTACAGTCACTCCTGAGATCAGCCTTGCAACGGACATTAGTGGCTCGGCCATCATAACAGCTATCAATATTGGACCTGCTACTAGAAATAAAAGACTAGAAGAAAATAGGCCAAGAAGGTATTACTATGGTGGGACTCCTGGCTATTTTAGGTCTTTGCGGATTTTCCAGACCTTCTTCGATGACCGTATACAAATTTTATAATTTCAAGAATTCTTTTAAATGATTTTTGAAAAAAAAATATCTTGTCATCGGCTCAATTCTATTGCCGTCCTTTGCCAGTAAATATCTAAAGAAAAAGTCTATGTGAAGCATTAGCACAGTGCACCTGCCAAGCCAGGCCTTCCTTGTAGGAACACACTCATCAACTAACACAAGGGTAGTCAGTGTCATTCTAATACTAATTTCTCAGACATGGTTTGAGCATTCTCCTCCCCCCCTAAATTTGGGGGCGGTGGGCAGGGAGATTTTTAGATGGAATCCAAAAGAGCCAACAGAGAGTTTCCTTTTTTTTGCCTCTCTTTCTTCCTTTAGTTGCTGTTTTGGCCATCTCAGAACAAAGTCAGGCAGGAAGTCGGCACAAGATACCTACCAGCTATGGACTTTGTCAGTTTTCCAAATGCTCTTCTGCCCCAGGGATGCACAGACCCTCAGGCAAAACCACCCCTGCAAAGAATGCTCTGCTGGGATCACTTCCGCCAGCCAAAGCCCCATTCTCTCAGGCACAGGGGAGCAGGTTTTGACTCAAAGGAGCCCTGGAGCCACTGACATAAACCCTGCTGTGACCTTGCCCCCACCCACCACCCTCTCCTTTCTCATAACTAACCTCCCATAAGACTCCCAGAGCCATTGACCTCCTCTTCCTCACTTCTCCGCAGGCAGCCTGGCTTATTCCTCCCACCTCTCCCTCTAGGGATCCTACCCTATGGGTCATCAACAAACTTCTTGTCAAGTTCAAAGGGCACTGGCCTTTGTACGTGAAATCCTCAACTGTTCATTCTTCAAACTTTTCTTCCCTTGGTTTCTATGAAATCAAGCCTCTCCTAGTTCTCCTGGTCTCTCTCTGAACATTCAAGTTCTTGTTTCTTCCTCCTCGCAGCCTTTGCTTGTTGTCCGTGACGTCTCCCTCCGCCCACCGGTGTTCTCTCCCCCACACCCTCTCGGCACTGATTCTTTCTTAGTGTCAGCCATGATTTCCATGATCTACATGCCGATAACTCCAGCCCAGACGTTTCCCCTCTGACTTCTATTTCCTGGAGGTGCTGGTCCTCACATGGGTGTCGCGAGGGCCTGAGATCCGCCAGGTCCAGGGCTGAATTCATCTCCCCATCAGGGCTCTTTGGCTGCAAGCAACAGGGACTGACCCTGAGTTGCCGGTGCACGGAAGAGACTAATTGGAAGGATTGCAAGATGGTTCCTAGAATCAAGGGAATCACTGGACAGCCTGGCGTCTGGTAGCCTGAACAAGGCCACTGCCCAGATTCAAGCTCCCGGGAGCAAATTTGACACACCCAGCTCAGATCATGGCCCCACTCCTTGGGGTCTGTAATCAAAATAAAGTGGAATGAGAGACGCAAAAGGTCTCAGACAAGACAGCAGCCACCAAGCCTTCCAAGTTTGTTTTTCTTCTGGACCAGAAGGGAGTCTCCCTCTCTCTCTGTCTCTCTCTGTCTCTCCCTCTCTCCCTCTCTCCCCCCTTCCCCCAACTCAGGTATCTCAACACCAGTCAGTCATTACATTCTGAGATTTTTAAAGTAGTTCTCCAAACGATGGCCTTCTCCATCCCTTGGACCTCTGACCTCCTTTGGAGTCTTATGATCTCTTGGCTTGATGACTACTGGTGGCCTCCTAAAAAGTCTCTGCTCCCTCTCTTGTCCACCTCAAGTTTGTCCTCCACGTGATAGCCAGAGTGATCTATCTAAATCCAGAGCTAGCCACGTGACTTCCCTGTTTGAGTTCCTTAACCTAGAGGGTGAGCTATGGGACTGGCAGCCCACATTTCTTGTTACCAAATAAAATTCTGCGGGGACCTGGCCCCTACCCACAACCCCTTTGCTGCAACCTGGTTTTTGTCTGTTTGTCTGTCTGTCTGTTTTTGCTTCTGGCACTCCCTCTTCCTGCGTGGCTTTCTTCTCCCCCTACCACTGTACCCCAACCTGGCCGTTACCAGTTTACCTTTAAAAATCGAATGAGGCTTCACGTCCTCAAGGCTGCCCTCCCTAAGCCTTTCCTGACATTTCATGAGGGGTTGAGGATCCCTCCTGAGTGTTTCCATAATGCCCTGAGCATATCTCTATGATCACCACACACAACCCACTGTTTGAGGAGTATCTATTCAGGTGCCTATCTCTCCTACTATCTACACATTCTTGAAAAGCAGGGATAAGACAAGGCATACATACAGTAGGTGCTTAATAAACGGTGGGGTTTTTTTTTTTGAATGGTCACTGACTTTGGTAAATCATGTAACATCTTCTGGGTTTCAGCTTCCTCACTGCAAAAAGGAGATAGGTCGACCTCTCCCGTGTTGTGCAATTAAGTGAGATGATCTAAATGGAACGCCTTGCATGGTGCCTGGCACGTGGTAAGTACTCAATTAAAAGGCACTTTCCTCACCGCCAAAAGCCCCTTTTCCCTCACCAGTAGAAGAGAAAAGAATGCTTAGTGCCCTCTGCTTAACAGTGCGTTTCCTCAACTGGAGTGTAAGCTGTATGAGAAAATGAGGCCAGGCCTATATTATTAATTGCTAAATCTTGTGCAGGTGGCAGGTGCTCAATCAATATTTTTAGGATAAATGAGTAATCGTTATCTGCTTATCTGACCCTGCATTTGTGCCTTCAATGAACTTAATGTTTTGTTTCCTTTTCCCATTTAAAAAAAACAAAAAAACCCCACCATCTTCAATTTCTTTAGTAGGCACGGTTTCCTGTTGCAAACCAGCCAAGGCTTGGGGAAGAAGAGTCACCCCACCCAGGCCCGCGCCACAGTCCGGGCTTTTGCGAGCCACGCTGTAGCCCTGGGCAGGGTGACTGCAGATGCCCTGGGGAGGGGCACTGACACCCCTTCACCTGCTGACTCGCTTGGAGCACATGCTGGCTCACTGACGCCTACTGGCCCATTTAATACCCCTAACAGTTGTGGGTGGGAGGTACCCTCCTCCCGCTGTATCAGGCAGGCTCCCAGAAGGGACAGGTTAGCGTTCTCAAGCCGGGGAACTGAGAAGAGTTTAATGAAAGGAATTTTGTAAAAGGGTGAGCAGGGTTTAAGGAGTCAGCAGGGAATAGGGTAAGCACCCCAGGGCTGGCGGCGGCAGAGTCCTTATCACCCCCCAAAATAAGAGGAGCAGCCAACCCACAGCATCCCAGGAGGGAGGGAGCCAGGACCATAAATACCCTGGCCTCTGCTTCTGCCTGCAGGGTGGGTGGTGGCGGGGGAGGGGGGGGTGATCCCCGGTGCCAAATGCACCCCGGCCGGTCAGAGGGGTGGGCTTTCCAGGCCACGGGTAGGATGAGAAGAGTCAGGAGTGACCATTGTAACTAGGCTAGCCAGCACTACGTGAGGCAACCCCTGCTGTCTAGCTTTTAACCTGCCCACTCTGCTCCTCTGTCTCTGTGACAGCGGCATGTGACTCCATTTGTCTGGCCTCCCATGCCCACTAATTGTGCTTCCATTGAGACTAGGGCAGACGGCAGCACTCTGGGCTGTTCTGGAAGCTTCCGCGAGGACCCTAAGAGATAGTCATGTCAGCATGGGACAAATGGGGAACTAACTCCCAGATGAGGAAGGAAGGCAGTCCAGTCTTTATAAACACATACACATACCACACACACACACACACACACACACACACACACACCCCATGCTGCTCTGTGAACACGTGCGCGCGCACACACACACACACACACACCCCATGCTACTCTATGAATATACACGTGCACACACACACCCAGGCTGCTTTGTGAACACACCCACATACATACACACACCGCCCCCATGCTGTTCTGTGAACCCCCAGGAAACCACCTGATAACTCAACTCCAGGAGCGTGGAGAATGCATCAGTGGACCCACCCCAGCACAGGCCCCTGTGGCTGTTAAGATCCTGGCTTGGGAATCAGACTCCCCGGGACTTGAATCCTGACTCTACCACCAGCTATGTGAATTTGGGCCTCATTTGTGAAACGGAAACCCTCATACCAGTAGGGGTGTTGTTAGGATTTAAATGCAACAGGCAATTTGCTTTGCACTCATTAAATGTTATCTACAAACCCCATCACGGTCATTTCTGTAGCTTTGCGCTACCGTCACTTTCGACCTAATTGCTGACTCATTCCAACTTTCAGAACCCTTTAAGAATGAATACTTCGACAACTAAGGAAAAGGATGATGATATCTGGTAGGGAATTTTCAAGCATGACTGTGACACAAACCCAGTGGGCCTGGCCACGCAAATATTACCGTGCCTCTTTTAAAGATGGAGAGAGCAACTAGCATCCAAGGAGACTGAGTGACTGGTTCAAGGTCACACAGGCAGTAACTGGCTGAGTCAGGGGCATCCCACTAAGGAGGCAGCACCTGCCAGCCGGCCTCCGCGGAGGCAGGTCTTCGCCCCCCAGAAGGGGCCGCCCTGCGCTCCCACGTTGGCTGTGGGAGGCCGGATCACTTAACAATATGTGTTTCCCCAAACTGTCATTATGTCCTTGTCGGCAACAAGGAATATGTGAGCCACTTCCTCCAGCTGTGCCTGTGAGCAGGGGAGTGGCGAGGGCCCGCGGTCGGGTTGGCCTGTCCTCTGCGCACCGCCCTGCGGTCCTCCAGGCCCCAGACCGCCTCTCGGGGCTTCTGGCTGCCGGCAGCGTGTCGGCTTCCCCAGGGCTGTCGCTGTGGTCAGGGACAGTGAGAGGAACCTGGCCCAAGGCTCCGCGTACTGGAGGTGGACGCCTGACAGCGAGAAGCCCGTGTCTGAAAGCACGGCGTGCATCAGCATCCTCTCCTTCAGAGAGAGCTATTTTTGTCTTTCATCTCCAGAAACCGCGTTCCAAGATCAGGGAGGCAAGTGTCAGAAGGAGAAAACGGCCAGCGTCTCGAGCTCAGAAGAGAACAAGCCCCTGCTATTTCCTCCACGACGACGGCAACAGTTGCCCCGGCCGCGACGGAGCTGGCTTCCCCTGCCCTTGGGTACCACACGACGTCCCGCACCCCCGTCATCTTTCTGTGGGATTTCTCTCCACACGCTCCACGGAGGAGCCGGGTTCGTTGCCATGGTTACTAGCAAGTCACGTGGCAGCCTGGCTACCTAGCGGTGTAGGAGAACAGTGGGAGCCGAGGAGCGGGGTGGGGGGGGTGGGGGGGGAGGGGGGAAGCATCCCTCCCCCACATCGGTGGCTTTTTCTTAGCCGACCCGCACGGCCCCAGAAGTCTTCCTCATTTCTGACCTGCCCAGCTCTGGGGTGAAGGGCCAGCCTTTCTTTGAGCAGCAGTATTTCCCTTTCATAATGGGATCAGCACAAGCCTCCTTCAAGGGCTTCTCCTTCTGGTCCAGGAGCCCCTCTGCCCCTCCCCAACGCCTCCTTTCCCTGACTCCTCACTCACACACACACACACACACACACACACACACACACACACGGGTGCTGTAATTAAATAGCTGTGTTGAGTGGGAACGGGTGGAGCATGCAGCCTACACCCCTTGAATAAGCTCTTTTTAAAAAAATCTGAGGATGGCATGAGTCAGGGAATTTCGAAGCCGTGATACAATCAGGACAGCGATGCCTCCAGGGGGTGGTGGCAGGGAGCATGGACTCACCCGGATCGTCCACATACCAGGCAGTGTCTGCTTTCCCAGCCACGGCCGTGAAGGGGGTCCGCAGAGCCTCAGACTTGGAGTCATGAAAGTGGGTATATTCCGCCAGTCTCTGCCGTGGCGGGGCAGTCCTGGCGCCTGGCCATTGCCTTCCGGGCCAGAGGAGGTCTGGGGCCTGGAGGAAGCTCTCCAAAAACAAAGCTCTCTGCCTCCTCCCCCCACCCCCTCCTTCCCCACAGAACCAGGCCACGTTAGCAAGTTAGCGCGAGCCCGTGCTCTGAGAAGTTGGTCAGTGAGTGGGTGCACCTTAGCAACAGCACGGGCTGCGAGCTCACGTCTTTCTTTCCCTGACGGTCACGGTTGCCTACTTCTTTAGGTTCAGGTTACATCGCATCTTGTCAATTCCACCAGACTGGCTGGCGTGCTTTCTTTCCCCGAGGCAAAAACAAAGTCTAGATGATGGAAACAGACCCGGAAGAGTCGGCAGGCAGCAAAAGGCAAGGCCTGGGAGGGATGCTGGCCCAACCGTGCTAGGTTGGTTCCGAGGACTCGCTTCGGGACCCCTGCCTCAAAGAGCAAAGCGTATTCTGGGAGAAGAAGCAGACAGCTTCCCGCACGTCACTAACCTTACGGAGCACCGCAGGGCAAAGACCGAGGAGACCAAAAGTAAGGGGGCAGGGATGCAGCCCAAAGGGGTGTGAGACTCTATCCAATGGGGTACAAAATGCAGAACTTTTTTTTTTTTTTTGAATCTGCTTTGGTACATGTATCATAACGTACATAATTGTGTCCAGTAGGATCAGTTTGGGCTGAGATTAAGAAAGAAGAGCATAGCCAAAACGACAGGAGCTTCAGCAGGAGACAAGTTAATTTGCCCCTCAGGTAAATGGACTCCGGAGGCAGGCCGCTCGGCTGGTGAGCTGTCTTTCCTGGTTGCTCCAACATTCTCAACAGGCAGCTGCCACTTCACTATCCAAGGCTGTTGCTCATGGCCAAGCCGTCCTGTTCACGTTCTAGGCGGCAAGGAGAAAGAAAGGAAGAATCACATGTGCCTCCCGTGAGGACACTTCCTGGAAACTGTACTGTCCGCATTTAGCATTTACCTAGCATTTTGTCACATGACTTTGCGAGCTGCAAAGGATCCTACGAAACGTCATCTATTAGGGAATGCTAAACGTGCCTATCGGGGAATGCTATTGAAGGAAGCATGGACAGTGGGGTGCCACCCGCACGCGTGTATACTTACAAAAAGTAAATGCACCTGTTAGGGGCATAATCAAAACTGTGGCCTTTAGGGTACAGTTCAAAGACCACTGCTATGGATTATATACCCTAGAAGTACATATAACTGATTGAAGGAAGGAGTGAGGGATTTTTTTTTCCCCACCACCTTGCATCCATCCATCCTTCTCCTGGTAAAGGGGTAAGGTGAGTTTTGTGTGTGGGCTCATCTCTCCCCCATTCTCAGCCATGCCGTTGTGAGGGGACCCTAATTCGCCTTGGCTCACCAACTTCTCCCACACCCTTGGCCAATAGGATTGGTGCGGGTTGCTGAGAGTCAGGTCCAAGATTTACATTCAGCTCCTAGAAGGGGCACAGTGGACATAAAGCTCTCAGCCCATGAAGTCTGGAGCCACCCAAACCCCCCTACCACCCGGATAGGAGAGCACAGCCCTCATCTAGAGGAGAGGGGAGAAGCCACACCGAAAGGACCAGGTCTTGGCGACCCCGTTTTAGTTCCGTATCAAACTGCATCGAAACACAGCATCACTTGTGGTGAGAAGCCGTATTGGACCAGGTGCATGAGGTCAACCCCTACAACTGGCAGAGTAACCAGGTGGAAAGAGCCTGGGACAGGTGACTTCCTGGAGCAGAGCCATAGTCTCTGGCTGGATGTTGATGTGAAAGAGAAGTCAATTTCCATCTTGTTAAAGCGATTGTTTACGTAAGAGTCATTGTTTTAGTGGCTAGACTATAACCTAACGGGTACACATGTATTATTTCATTTAATTTCTTTTTAATGATCTTATTTCATTGCCCAAGGTCTTACAAGCAAGTGGGTGCAGGGCAAGAATTTGGGCCCAGGACTGGCTGACTCAGTATTCTCTGCTCTTGCGGGCCCTCGGCTAACTCTCTTCCCTCCATGCTGGGTGGGGTCACACCTTTTACTCTGTGCTGTCGTGTCTCTTTGCATGTGGCCGCTTTGGAGCCAGAAGCTATGCGGTTCCCACTTGCATTGCCCCGGTCAGGCTGGGCCCTGGTGCTCCATAGCTGTTGATCCAATAAATAATAAATGGTGTTACTGAACTTCAGAACAGATCTAGCAGGCTGTTAGAGGATCAAATGAGATCATATTTGAGAAGAGGTTTTGAAAACTACACAGCGGTTATAGTTAGCCCTTTTGTTAGGAAATCCCCCGTATTAGGGGCAGGAATGTGGCTGTTTCTGGCTCTGCCTTTTGGTGCCTTCCTCTGAGAGACAGGCCTTGGGGTCGTGTTACTCTTAAGAGTCAGAGGGCACCTTTGAGACCACTCAGATGCACCTCCTGGTGCCCTCCCACCCCTCACCCCCACATCAGGTGCACTTGTCCTCCTTGATGGCTTCACCAAGGGGTCAATTGGTCAGTGACCCTCCCAACAGCTGGGCACCATGGGCAAAATATGACTCGACAGTGTAGGTTTGGGGACAAGTTCCGTTCCGCTCCCCAAATAGATCCATGAGTTCTCTCCTTTTTGCCTCTGCACGTGCGCTTTCCTCCCCAATAGTCCGAAATCCTCTTTCTTTCTTTTTTGTTTTTTTTTTTTTAAGTTTATTTATTTATTTTGAGAGAGAGTGCAGGAGGGGCAGAGAGAGAGGGGGAGACGGAGAATCCCAAGCAGGCTCCACACCGTCAGTGCAGAGCCCGACACGGGGCTCCAACTCATGAATTGTACGATCACGACCCGAGCCAAAATCTTCTGAGCCATCCAGACACCCCCGGAGTCCTCTTTCAAGTTCAGGTTCAAAGTCACCTGCCCTGTAGAAGTCTTCCAAGTTTGGCAGGGGCATTTAGGTGGTCTCCTCTCTTTCTTGCTGTGTCATTTTGTACTTAACTCTATCATAAGACATATCAAATTACATTTTTATTTGTGCTTTTTTATAAACCCACTTCCTCACCCCTCCAAACTATCACCATCACCCTTCTTACATGAGATTTTCAAGGACAGACTTGTCTTACTCTCTTGATTCTCCAGCACCTACCTCAGTACCTGGCACCTGTTGATAATTTAATGAACGCTATTGAAGGGATGAGTGAGTAAACACGTGAGCAGGGGCTGAAAACTTGGTCCCTGGCGTGAGACAAACTCATGTCCAAATCCCCTTGACGAATCATACTCATTCACTCATACATGCTACTCATCCACTCATTCAAATTTTTAGTGAGTACGTATTATATTCCAGCCACCCTGCTCGACATTACCATAGGGCGATCGGGAGGGATGGGGTCTCTGCCTCACAAGCTTATATCTGAGGGAATGGTAGAGACTAAAAAGAAAAAAGCCCATCAGTAAGTCAACAAGTCTCTAATATGTCCTCCGAAGGCAATGAACGGGGGGAGTGTGACAGTGGACCTGAAGTTGGGGTGGACTACTTTGAGTGACGAGCGGGCAGGGAAAGCCTTGCTCGGAGCATCCGAGTGAGTCCCGAAGAGTAGGAATGAGATGGCCTTTTGGAGGGCCAGGGGGAAAATGAGGAACAGCCACCAACAGAAAAAAGGTTCTCTCTCTAAGGCTTAGTTTCCTCATCTGGACAGTGAGATAATAATAGCATCCGCTACATGGTTTTTGAGAAGCTTAAGTGCATTGAAACACAGCATCCAGCCAGGCACACAGGAAGCACTCTATATGTTTTAACTCTTATTGTCAGTTATGGGTCATGCGACAGAAAGGAAACGAGGGTGAGGCCATGTGGCCCTCTGTAATTGCCACTTCCTTTTCCAAGGTTCCAAGCCATCTGTTAAATCACCCACGTAAGAATGTTCCTGGGGAATTAGAAAAAAAAAAAAAAAAAAAAAAAAAAAAAAAGAATGTTCCCGGGCACCAACGTCCATCTCTCTGGTCTACGGTCTCTAGAACCTCTTTCAAATGCGTGTACATTCCTCAGGTTGGCAGAGAAAATAAACCAAATGGAAACTTGTCTGTGAAAGCCCTAAACGAAGGTACTTATTGCTACTGTGTTCTTTCTCTGTCCTTTCCCCATAGTCTCTGGACACCCCATGTTCTGGCTGGCGGCACACCATCTGGTTAGCCAAGGACCTTCTTAAGCCAGGCCCCTGAAACTGAGCGTGGAACTTCCAGCAAGCTCTGGCCAAGCCGGGACCTGGCCTGAGGCCTGCAGACCCAGCACAGCCTCACACGTAGGTAATAAGTTAGTAGCAGAGGCAAGTGTCTTGCCTCCCCCTTAGAACAACCAGATTCACCTCCAGCCTCCTAAGTTCTAGCAGGTGAGACAAGTTTTGCCCTGTGACTCCACAACCATGGCCGTCTCTCAAGGAATTTCAAGACACTCACAAGGCTAGTCTTCCCTACTGGGCAGACGGGAGGCTCTTGGCGTTTGTAACAGCAGCAAAGAGAAGCATTCTCGGAATCTCAGAGGCAAAAGACGTCCCTGCAGTTCAAATTTTTCTGAACCCGTGGTTTCTCTGATGAGGGGTGCGTGCATGTGTGTGTGTCGTGTATGCACGCACATACGTGTGCGTGCAAGAGAGGCCAAAGAGTGCTGGCTCCATGCTCTAAAGCCACTGACTCTTGTAGATATGGTTATTTCACGTATACATGTTTTCAAGGCTGCCCTTAAATGGTAACATCAGCAGAAAGATGCCAAAGAGTGTGGCGGTACACGGGCTTAATTACAGGGACCTTTGTCCAACGAACATGCCAATAATTTGCCTGGCTGAATGATTCAGCAGTAATCCTGCCAGGTTCCCAAAAAAAGCCCATATCTGGGATGACGTAATGTCTCTCCAGCCCGATGCAGCCATCTCCCCACACCCACCGTCACACATTTACCGTCTCTTCTTAGGAGCCACATTTCCATCTGTGAGCTCTTCACTTGCCATCTGCATTGTGACAAATCTGTATTTTATTATTTAAATGGTATTACAATGTACAGTGTTGCTAATCTAGCCCTTCATGTTTAGAAAGGCAGTAGAAAAATGAAAACCGAAAAAAATCCTAGCCCCTGGGGAGTTCTATGTCGGCAACTCATGCCTGCAGAATGCCTCCCAGTATCTCAGGTTGGATATTTGATCTGTGCATCCCATGAATATTTATACTTTGGGGCAAAGTGATTGGTTTAATTTGTCACTGGAAATTGAGGTGACAGTCTCGATTTGCGAAGCGGTACACGTGGCAGGGACTGTGAAGGGAAAGAGACTCTGGTCCTACCCCAATGCACTCTGTATGGAGCTGGAAGACACTTTTGCTTGCCTACCTCAGATCCGTCAATCTCCCCCTTCGTCCTGACCGGACAGGTGCTCGGGGAAGGTGTTCTTCTCCTCATCTAAACTAATTTTGGTTTTCCTTGCCACTCCCGGCTAGACACTGCATTCATTTTATTTCAGTTTATTTCAACGAGGAATTAAAGGAGTCCTGCTGCGCGTGATGCAGGGAAGGTGGTTCTGAGAAAGATTTCTTTCCTGATAAAAAAAAGATCCAAAGAATAAGTAGCTCCCTTTTTTGACCTCTGGATGTTGTTATGATGCAAGGAACTCCTGCAGCCATCCTGCAGACGTGAGGGGAGGTAGCTGGAAGGATGACAGAGATGGCGAAAATCTGAGTCCTCGATTGTTGATAAGTCGATGATAAACCAACCCAGAGCTGCCTCCACTTTTAGACATCTCATTATATAAGATAATAAATCCTTTGTTATTTAAATTTTTTTTTCAACGTTTATTTATTTTTGGGACAGAGAGAGACAGAGCATGAACGGGGGAGGGGCAGAGAGAGAGGGAGACACAGAATCGGAAGCAGGCTCCAGGCTCCGAGCCATCAGCCCAGAGCCTGACGCGGGGCTCGAACTCACGGACCGCGAGATCATGACCTGGCTGAAGTCGGACGCTTAACCGACTGCGCCACCCAGGCGCCCCAATCCTTTGTTATTTAAACTGGTTGGTTCAAGGCTTTCTGTTCCATAGAAGCTGAAAATGTCTTAACTATGTGAGGCAGTGACTTTCAAGCTTTTTGGTCATAAACCAAAGTGAGAAATATGTTTATGTGTAATGCACTCTAAAATGTTCCATTTTTTTTTCTACTTAATCTTTAAAAATTCAGGTCATGACCCAACACAGTGATTTCAAAACTCACTAGTGGGTCATGATCCACATTTCTGAGAACATTACAGTCACAGGGCACATAAGCTAGTGTGATATAATGAAAGCATAATGTGGTTAAGTGTCATAAAAGACATACTAACACAGTGCTGATCACTTTGAACTTGGGGAAACAGGGAAGCTTTCGCAGGAGGGCTAGACCTTGAAAAATACCTATGGTTGGGGGTTCAAGGAATGACATGAGAAAAGACGAGATGGTGAGAAGGGCAGACACCCTCCAGCACCAGTGTGTAAATGTGGGCAGAGGTTGATGTATGTGATTTGGAGAGTAGTGAGAAGTAAGGTCTGATTTTAGTTAGAGAATGTGCAGCCTTGAATGGCAAGCAGGTGAGAGGCCGGATGAAGGCGTTCAGAAAGGGCCAGGACTAAGGAAGTCTAAAATGCTGGCAGTTGCAGCCTGGGTTGGGTCTGTGTCATAGCAGAAGCTCAAACTGGTGGCATTTAAAGCTTGAGGCAAGTGACAAGGGCCTCCGCTCTGGGAGGTGAGCCCCTGCTCTGTCCCTTCATTCTGCCTATACTCACTAAAAACCCATCTTACGTGCTCTGCCTGTGAGCTGCTTTCGGCGATGGGCAAACAGCGAGCTGGCCTTTCTAAGAATTCAGCCTGGCATCCCCCACGTGAAACCGACAGTGCCGATATTGTGATTCTTCTAAAGAAAACCAACAGGGTGAGAAAGAGTGGCCGGTTTTCCATTTCAGAAAGGCCAGCAACCCCCAACTTCTCATTGTTCTTCTTGCGCCCACCTACTTGCCTTCTCATGAGTTCGTTCACATTTTGTTAGATCTCGCCCCAGAAGTTGGGCTGAGCCTTGCTACTTGGCACCTCTAGTGGGAAAAAAAAAAAAAAAAAATCAGTGGAGGAGGATTTGAAATTGTTGGTTAAATTGGATGTTTGTGCTATCTGTGGATTTTAATTACCCATGTCATTCCTTCTCTACTCTCTCCCTGAAAATCAAGAGTTGATTCTCATGATGGAAATTAATCAGAACTAGTCTGTGACTTCTCTTTTATTATACCCACAGACCTAAGGGATGGGCAAATTGGAGAGGAATTTTACCAGAAACCCAAATACTGGAGAATAGAACCAGATTATAATAAATCTAAAGCAGAGGCAAGTTTATTCTTATCCTCCCCCTTTAAATTAGCGACTGTTTTTTAATGTGTAAATCGAAATGATCAGATTTCTGGAGCCTTGTTTCTGCCTTGACATTTAACACTGTTCGTGATTTGGGCAAAGGTCCCTACATTTCTGCCCCGACTGGCTCCAGACAGAAAATCACAAATATCCTTTGGGAGCACAAAGCAAGTTCATTGCTTCATTTGGAGTGAAGGACATTTCCACGATGAAAAGCACCAGCTTAACCGCATTTGACCCCAGAGCATATGAAATTAAGTGATGAGTTAGCATGATTACATTGGTTAATTATCTCATCAATATCTTCTTCAAGTGGTTTATTCGGGCTTTTCTTCGTAGAACTTTTCAACGCCTCATGTGTTGGAACTTCAGAATGGAGTTCACACAGTGAATAAGTGTGTCAAGGAAAGAGTAGAGAGGTGGGTGCTTTCTTCTCAAGTCCAGAGCCACACTATCCATTTCTTCCCAGTCCTGCTTGTGCTCCTGGCTTTCCTGCTTGGGTGCTGACACCCCCCATCTTCCAGGGACCTAGTCCCTTTGTGTCATCCCCAGTGCTGCCGCTCCTCACTGCCACATGCAGCTGATCACCAGATTCTTGAACTTGAACTTGTCTGCCTCCCCTCTGTTTCCGCTGCTCTCACACTGAATTCAAGGGCTCAGCGCTGCAATCTGCACTGAACGACTGGGCCAGCTTCTTGGAGTGGCCTTTCTGCTCCATTCCTCTCCCGTCTCAGTCAACCCCTTACTTGGCTACTGGAGTGACGTCCTAAATCCCAGCTTCAAACCGGCCACTCACTCCCTTGCACCACGTTCCTCAGTGACTCCCCATCCAAATCCAAACTTATTAACACAACATTCAAGACCCTTCAATACTGAGCCCCAGCGCCTCATCGCAGGGTTTTCTCCCACGATGCCTGGTTCACGGACCAGAGTGAAGGGTAGGGTAGAACCTCCTTGTATGTCATCGTGAAGAATTGATCATATTGTATTACAATTCCTCAGAGTCTGAAACACCTTCTAGACTCTAACCTTCAAGAGGGCAGGGGCTGGGTTTTCACTATCAGTGTCTACCATTGTGCCAGGCACATGATCTGTATACAATAAATATTAGTTGAATGAATGCAGATGTAATAAATACCTCAGAGTTTCTCGTTTGAAATGGAATTTGCTTACCAATACCTAATATAGCCTTTTAACTTTCTACTAACATACGTATTCAGGATGCACAAAACAGTAAGCGTTCATAATCCCACCATAAGTTAAGACAATTGGAAAATCCACTGCCTGAATTTGGAGGAAATTTAGGGTAATTCTAAGTCTTATACGGCCGACTTGAGACTCAAAGTCGGGCACAGGACCTACTCCATGACGTCAAGCAATGTAGGCCTATAATGCCAAAGAAGGAAGCTGGACATTTTATTTCTCTCTAGATTTTTGTCCTTTGGCCTAGAGGCCTAAGGTCTGGCTTGCCCAAAACGTCAAGAATCCATTCTTCAATTACTCAGGTTCTTTGCTTCAAGACAGAACTTCATTCTTTTCTTCCCAAGCTTACTAACAGTAAGCTCTCGCTTTCTGCATTTATTTAGACACTGCAAGTCCCAGTTTAATAAATATATTCCCAGAAAACAGTAAGTGGAAAGTTGTGTACATGTATACGTGATGGCAGCGGGTGGGTGGGCATAGTTTATGGCAGTTGTGCCCTGGGAGAGTGTAGTCCAGCACATGGGGTACCTTTGGGGATGACAGATACAGGAGGAGTTCTGGTAACAGTACATCCTGGGGACTATGGTTGTATATGTGTGTGTGTGTGTGTGTGTGTGCGCGCGCACACATTTCATGTATTCAGAATGTCGACAAACCAGATACTAGATGCAGGAGAACATTCTGACTCAACCTTACGAAGCGGGACTAAAGGAGTAACTACTTTCTGGATATTAGAAATTGCACCTAGCTGTGCACATTATACTCTCTTTCAGTTGAAGACCCGAGGAATGGATTCCACCAACATCCAGATGGGCAGTGAGGGGTGCCAAGAGGAAGCCACACTGCATCTTTTGGCAATCAGTAGACCCGGACAGATCACTCTTCGTTGCAGGGTAAGTTCTAGAATACTTCATATAAAGGAAACGCACCATTATCCTGAAATCTCGAGGAAGGGCAAAGTATTTCTGAAAACAATGTACTGCGGGAACCAGAAGAGAATTTTAGAAAACTGTGTTTGCATCTTTGTGAGGACAGAAGAGGCCATGGCCTTTTAAAGCAGAAGTTGATGAGGAAAGAGCAGGTTTAAGCGACATGAGGACAAAGTTAAACCAAGGACCACCGTGGGAAGGCTGAAAACGCAAGGTCACATGGTGAATGTGACGAGAGCAAAGTTAGCAGTGGTCAGAGAGCACCTACTGGTTCCTGCCGTTACCGAGGGAGAAACAAAGGCAAGCTGAAGAGATGCAATGAGCAGAGGCTTCTCTCAAAGCTCCAGTTACCAGGTCACCATATCCACGAAGCTTTGCCCAACAGCTATGTGTTCAGTAACGCGTTGAGTGCCTCCTAGGTGGTAACAGCCTGGGTGCTATAGGCCATGATAAGATGGTGGTCAGATGGACACAGTGCTCGCCTTCCTCAGGGGTCCCTTCTGCACCTTTGGCCTGGTCCATCTTTGGCACCTTTAACATTCCATTGTTTGGGACCGCAGACATAGCCGCCCCCCTCCCCCAGGAAGGACACTCTCAAGGACAGGATTTCTCCAACAACAGCAGCTCAGAATCAAGCCCTCGAGAATCCTCTGGTGTTGGCTTTCTGACCACACCCCCTAAGGCCTCCCGGGAGTCCAAAGTCCACTGTTATTGCGGATCTGGAATTACCTGGTATTTCCTATGCACGTTTATTTTCCTTGTGGACATTTATTCAAAAATGATCTCTAATAACTTACTTTAATAGCCTTTTCCCTGACTTTAAAGGCAACACAAACCCCTTTGATATATAAAAAAGCACAAAGAAACAAAAGGTGTCCTCTATAAGCGGTAGCTGCTGAGGCCCACCCCACTCCATTTTGACCTCAGCCGCACCGATCCTGAGCGCTCGGAACAGTGCTTGACATGGAATAGACACTCAGTAATCAGTATGTGTCAAATGGACGGTCAAGAGCAAGTCCCATGGTCGCCATGCTGGGCCGCACATCAGGCTGAGGGAAGGCGCTGTCCTGGTAATCGCAAGCACCCCTCAGCCACGCTTTCTGGCCTCACGGTGGTGGCTGCTGCAGCCCCGGGGAGCTAGAACCATATCTCCACTCTCAGGACTGCCAGCACCCCTGGGCCTGTGGCCCCCAGGCACCTTGTATAGCTGGAGTGGTCCTAGGCCCTCAGGTCTGTGGGGAACATAAACCATCTTCGAGCTTAAGGGTCCTGGTTTTCCAGGGGCACCTGGGTGGCTCAGTCAGTTGGGCGTCAGATCTCAGCTCAGGTCATGATCTCACGGTTTGTGAGTTCCAGCCCCACGTCGGGCTCTGTGCTGACAGCTCGGAGCCCGGAGCCTGCTTCGGATTCTGTGTCTCCCTCTCTCTCTGTACCTCCCCAACTCCACTTTGTCTCTCTCTCTCAAAAATAAGTAAACATTAAAAAAAAATTAAAAAACAAAGAGTCCTGGTTTTCTGGAGTTCTCCATGCATGATGCTGAACCCTGCACCCTTTAGAAATGGAAAGAAAGGACCCCTCCCCCACTGTCTTTTCTCATAAAGGTGGAAAGCTGATGGCCTTACCGACCTATGACTTGGGTTCATGAAATTTTTAATGCTTTTAATATTTCTTTAAGTTTACTTATTTTTGAGAGAGAGAGTGTGTGAGTGAGCAGAGGAGGGTCAGGGAGAGAGAGAGAGAGAGAGAGAGAGAGAGAGAGAGAGAGAGAGAGAGAGAGAGAGAGAGAATCTCAAGCAGGCTCCAAGCTGTCAGCACAGAGCCTGATGCAGGGCTGGAACCCACAAATCATGAGATCATGACCTGAGCTGAAATTGAGTCGGGTGCTTAACCGAGTGAGCCGCCCAGATACCCCAGATGCTTTTAATATTTTGATTGGTTTTCATGTGTTGGTGCTTGTTTTAAATGCTCTCCCACCGCCCGCTTAACTGTGGTTTCGCCTGAGGAGCTTGCTCTGTTTCACTTGTTTAAAAATTAATTAATCAATGAATTTTTGAGAGAGAGAGGGAGAGGGAGACACAGAATCCGAAGCAGGCTCCAGGCTCCAGGCTCCGAGCCGTCAGCACAGAGCCCAACACGGGGCTGAAACCCACAAGTGGTGAGATCATGACTTGAGCCGAAGTAAGATGCTTAACCAACTGGGCCGCCCAGGTGCCCTTCTGCTTCACTTTTTAAGGTGCAAAAGCAGAATGATTTATTTGGAAGGAACCTGAGCAGGAAGTCCTGCCCACAGCAGGACACAAACCCCTCGGCCTTCCTGTCTCCTCAGTGAGTACAGCGGGACTTCCCTGATGGCACCTCTGAGTGGGAGCTTGTGTGAGGTTGGCTCCCTCTCCTACCCCCAGGGAAGGACTGGGCTCAGAGACTGCACCCTGATGTTGGGAGAGAAGTCTAAAGCTGTGAGGGACACACAGGTACCCAGTGGAAGCCCCACCACGGGGAGGGACTCGTGGAAAGGTAGGTAGCTGTCTCCGTGGCCCCCAATCCCAGCCCCCAAACAGGGTGGCTCCCTTTACTTGGCTCTTCCGCGCTAGGCCCCGTGTGACGTTTCATTAGCTTACAGGTTGCACAGCCAGCACAAGCTAGGAAGCCACCCAGAAAGGCGTTCAAGGTGACAGTGCCCAGCAGCGGGCTTATTCCCCCTGCCCCACACCGCCCTCCCCCCGCCCCCCCGCCAGCATTGCCAATCCCAGAATGCCACTTTGTCACCACACCCAGAACCCATCAGTTTGGCAGCCCTGGACTGATGTAACCAAACTCCTAGGAAATGATGCATCAGTCAGATTGTCAGTGTATCTGTCCTGACCAAGGGTGCTCCTTTTCGGGGACCCTAGTCACCAGCATGGGGAGCCACCCCCTGCCAATTCTTCCCAGTATCCAAGCAGCCAGGAGGCCACATCGGTCATCAGGGGGTTGCTGGGTGACGCTGGAGTAGAGGGCAGGACAAGTAGGTTTGGTCAGTGGGACAGCGTTCTTCCTGCTCCGCGGCCCAGCCCCACTTCTTTCTTCCCAAAGGAACCTCGCTTTGTCCAGGTTCCACCCTCCTCTGTGGAGGCCCGGGTGTCAAGGAGGAGAGTCCCATGCTTGGTGCCACAGGTGCATCTTGACCGCTCTGAATAGCGGCTCTCATTCTGTTAGATCCAACAACCCTCTTTTTACGGCAAATGTTTTTACGGCTTCCTCTGTACTACACGGAAATGAAATCTATAGAGAATACAGTCTATCTATACGTATAACTTCCAAAAATTCACTAACCATATTACAAAGTGTTATGCCTTAAATGTGTCCCCCCCAAATTCATAGGTTGAAGTCCTAACCCCAAATGTGATGGTGTTAGGAGGTGGGGCCTTGGGGAGGTAATTGGCCGTGAGGGTGGAGCTCTCTGGGATGGGATTAGTGCCCCTCGAAAAGACCCCCGAGAGTTCACTGTCCCTCTGCATTATAAGGGTACAAAGAAAAAATGACCATCCACCCTCATCAGAACCTGATCATGCTGCCTCCCGAATCTTGGATTTCTAGTCTCCAGAACCGGGAGAAATCAGTTTCTCTTGTTGATAAGCCAACTGCCTGATCTAAGTTGCCAAGTAGAATTTAAAAGGAAAATAATTGGAGCTGGGGGTGCCTGGGTGGTTCAGTCAGTTGAGCGTCCGACTCTCGATTTTGGCTCAGGTCATGATTTCACAGTTTGTGGGATCGAGCCCAGTGTTGGGCTCTGGGCTGACAGCATGCAGCCTGCTTGGGATTCACTCTCTCTCTCTCTCTCTCTCTCTCTCTCTCTCCCTCTCTCCCTCTACCCCTCCCCCATTCACTCTGGCACTCTCTCAAAGTAAATAAATACATTTTAAAAAATCAAGAAAGAAAAGGAGAATAATCGGGCCACCTGGGTGGCTCTGTTGGTGAAGCGTCTGACTCTTGATTTCAGCTCAGGTCGTGATCTCACGGCTCGTGAGATTGGGCCCCGAGACCGGCAGTGCGCTAACAGCTCAGAGCCCGCTTGGGATTCTCTCTTTCCCTCTCTTCCTGCTTCTCTCCCTCCCTCCCAAAATACATTAACAAGCACTTAAAAAAAATAAGAGGAAAATAATTGAGAATACAATAGGACGTATGTCAACATGCAAGTGCTGGGCAGGACCACGCTAGAAGAAATGCATAACGACGTTCCAGGTGCTAGGGTCCCTCCCCAGAATCCTTCTGGGCTGGCAGCTCCCCGTGCAGGCCCACACAGGCTTGTTGTAGTGGAGACTCGAATTCCATGAATGGCGTTGGCATTGCTCATGTGATTTTTCTAAGGCAGCGAACGACTCCTGGAAAAGTTCTGAACAAAACCGAGCACGGTGTTCCTTTGACGTACGTGGTCGTTGCTCTCCTGGAAAATACGAGGTATTTTTAAAATGCTTTGGGTGCATAGATAAAAGAGAAGTAGGTTTTAGCTCAGATGATTTTGAGCAGGTTGGCCCCCCCCCCCCCCCAGCGGGGGAACGTTCAATGAGATGTTCAGAAATCACGTAGCTCACAAGCATGGGCTTGTCTCACACACTGCAGGGAGTTCACCACCCCTGGCCTTTCCGGCTCGACGCGCTAATGGTCATGGCCCTCCCTGAATCCTCCTGACCACCGAAAATGCACCCCTCCCGGCTGCTTCAGCACCCTGGCTGAGAGCCGCAGACCCAGCACGTCCTGATGCCCCCTCCATTCCCCTTCCCCGTGACGAAGCGGGAGACGAATTCGACTGGAGGCCTCTGGCGCGAGGTGTTTCTGCCCAATGAAAAGAGACAGCGGAGCCCAAGTAGCAGATCTCGCTGCCCGCGAGAATGCCAAGGTCCAGGCCAGGCTCAGGAAATAAAAAGGAAGGTTTGGAATCATGGAGAAGATGACTCCAATATGCTCTAGGAGGAGTCTGATACTCACTCTTCCTATGGGCAAAGGTGCTTTTTTAAAGGAGTCTGATCTTAAAAAGCTACTTCCTCTTTCCACCCATTTACCATAGTTCAACAGGCAAGTTACGGGCTGAGGAGACGATGTCTGTGGGCCTGCAACCATCGGCGAGTTTGAGGATGGCCGGCCTGAGGAAGAGGCCACCACGGCGAGCGGAGGGGACAGGTGGCGAGAACTGGGGTGTCCGGTGGCTCAGAATGAGCCCCTCCGTCAGCCAACCTCCATTCTACCCCATCTCCGTTCCTTCGATATGTTAAATAATTGTGCAAGCCGGTGCAGTTGGGCCTTTTCTCTTACGACAACCAAAAGCGTCTTCCTGATAAGTGTTCATATTCTGGCTGTTGGGAGGTCCCCTTTCTGGGCTTTATGTAGAGAATTTGCCCCCTTTCTTGGTTCTACCTTGAAGTGTGGTGGTTAAGGAAGTCTCTGGGTTCACATTCCACCTCTGTTTTTATAGGCTGTGTCCATTTAGGCAAATCACTTCATCTTTTGAGGTCTCATGTCCTCATCTGTCAAATGGGGGCCATAATAGTTTTCTGACTCTGGGGACATGGGGATTAAATTAAATGAGTTAATGTAAGAGAAACATTGCAAACTGCCTCACACATCCTTGATGTTGAATGGTGCTAGTTGTGATTAGAGTCTTTTTAGTTTTTTGCTTGGATCTCTCTCGGCCAAGAACGCTAGAAATTCAATTCCAACTAATCCAAGCAAACAAAGAAAAGTCATTGGCAGTCGCGGGCCCCGCCCGAGATGGGGTACCGAATCAGGAAGAGCTGTTGAGTCAAGCCCCTGAGGATGGGATGGGGAGCTTCTAGATGAGAGGTTGTGGCTTCTGGCTCCCTGTAAGAGCCACCCAGAGGGCTTTTTTTTTTAAGTCTCCAAGGCCCAGGCTGCACTCAGACCAATTAACTAAAAATTTCTGGGGTCGGACCCAGACATCAGCAGATATAAAGCTCAGGGGATCCCAGTGTGCAGACGAGGCTGAGAACCGCTGTGCAGATGATCTCTTCATCAGACTTGCTTCTCTCTGCCGGGTTCCATTCTACAGAAAGCTTGTCCCGCCATGGCCTCAGATGTCTACCCTCCTATCATAGTCTCGATAGAAAAAAAAAGAAGCAATTAACAAAGCATCTTTCGGTATCTGCATTCTGCATGTCAGAGGATTTGTCCTGCTTCATCCGTCTCCTGCTGGTCCTCTTTTCTTTCTTTCTTTTTATTTATTTATTTATTTATTTATTTATTTTTGAGAGAGAGAAAGATCAGGGGAGCGGCAGAGGGAGGGAGGGAGAGACAGACAGAGAGAGAGAGAGAGAGAAAATCTCCAGCTGTCAGCTCAGAGCCCAATTCCAGGCTCGAACTCACACAATGTGAGATCATGACCTGAGCCGACCTTAGCTGAAAACAAGAGTCCGATGATTAACCGACGGAGCCACCCAGGCGCCCCCTCACCCCTATCCCTGCTCGTCCTTCTTATTCTGATCACTGTTGCGGAGGGCTGGGGTGCAAGCCACTCCAGTGCCCGGGAATCTTGATCGACAACACACCAGACGCATTTGGGATGAGACAGCAATTTCCTCAAAGATCTAAGAGGATCGACCAGGGGAAAATTGTATGTATCATCTAATTAAATAAAACTGGTTACACGTCATCTTGGTTGATACAATTAATTGTCAGCATGTTCTGCTTCAGCCATTTTCCCTAATGGATAGGATTTGGGCTTGCTGGGGTCTTTTCTTCAGGTGTCTTAGCCACCGCAAGTGACAGGTTATTGCATCGCTGGGACAATGCCTGGCTGGTCTCTTGGCTGCCTGGACGGGGATTACAGGTTCTTCATTCCCTGGAGCTGCTTATTCACTGACTCTTTGTCCCGCCCACAGATGACTGATCTCATAGGTCACCTCTTGAATTCACTCCAGGATAATCTTCTAACAACACTGTCACCCGTAGGTACTGACTACACGGTATTTCGATTCAAACTGAAACCCAAATTTCCATTTCCTCCAACTTTTGACCTCTCTTTTCCTTTACTCACTTATCTTCGGGTTGAGGAGCTCTTGTGGGAAGGCACTTTTTTTTTTAATTAAAAAAAAATTTTTTTTTAATGTTTTATTTATTTTTGAGACAGGGACAGACAGAGCATGAGCAGGGGAGGAGCAGAGAGAAGAGAGAGAGAGAGAGACACAGAATCCGAAGCAGGCTCCAGGCTCTGAGCTGTCAGCACAGAGCCCGATGCGGGGCCCGAACTCACAAACTGTGAGATCATGACCTGAGCCGAAGTCGGACGCTTAACCGACTGAGCCACCCAGGCGCCCCCACTTTTTTTTTTTTTTTTTGAAACGAAAGATGATTGGAGGGACACATGGAATCCTCACTGGTGCTTATCCACTTGTTCTGAATAGCACTTACCATATTCCCTTTTCTAAACTGGACATCATTGGGAACAACAGAACACGTTCCCAGCCTTCCAGAAAGCGGAGGATTTTTTTTTTTTTTTAATCAGTCTGGGCGTGGTGTATCTGAGGAGAGAAAGCACAGTAAATACCTGTACATAATTAGCATCAGTGCCGACCTAATCAAACATCCCCAGCCATGCCTATCTGCATCCCCGAGGGTCTCCAGCGACTGTGGTTGATTTCTGCCGCCCTGCTGTTGCACATTTGCTGAATTCAGCTTTCCTTTAGGTTTCACAAGGTTTTGGTTACACACCGAGCTGTTAATTTTGATAGCCGTGTTTCCCAACCAGCTAAAGTCATTGCTGCAACGTGACAGATGGACGACGGAGAAATGGCTGCAAGGTGGATGCAAGGGGAGTGATGGACAGAGGGCCTTTGCCATTGTGCGCTGCCTCTGGGGGCTTTTCTTATAAAGGAAATCTTGATCTCTTGGTTCTTAAGTAGACACCTCACTACTTAGTATGTAGATGCGTGTTACGAAACCGTTCTCTTCCTGTTCTCACTGGCAGAGTTTCAGATGAAGTGAAAAGGGCCCCCCAAAGGGCTTTGCTCCACCACTAGATGGAGGAGCACCTTCACCCCTGCAGCCCTGGAGACAAGGGCCCAGGGAACAGGAAAAAGATCTGCTGCTACCCTCCCCCACCGCATCCCGGGTTCCTCCCAGCACCGGGCAGGAAGCCACCTGCCGCAGCAGCAACGGTCACCGGTGGGGTCACACTCATCGTGCGCTTTACATTTTGAGATCTGATTCCTGCGTGAAGCCACAGCATCCTCTTTGGTGTTCTTTGAAAGTTCTGTGTTTTTCCAGCTGTTCCACAAACCTTTGTCGGCCAGGACAGCCTTGCACATGGCTTTCCAAAATTACCAAGGCCATCGACATTCTTTCCACCCACAGTATCCGCACTGACCCCTCCACCATTTGTTCATGCAAATCCTTCCCCTTCGAACCAGTGTTGTCTCACTTCCGCGTATCACAAAGGCTGTGCGCACCACTCAGAGCACGAGTGGCACTGGAAAGGGGTCACCGGGCGCAGCCAGGATTAGTTTTCTCTATTCTTGAGTTTCATATAAATAGAATCACACAATATGTCCTTTTTTGCGTGTGGCTGCTTTTGATCAATACGTCGTCGGTGAGATTCAGCCATGTTAAGCCGAATCCTATCCCATTATATAAATAGACCACAATTTGTCAGTTCCCTTCTTGATGGACATTTGGGTTATTTCCGGTTTTTGACTATTATAAATAGGCTGCTATGAACATTTTTGTCCAAGGCAATTTATGGATGTATGTACTATACTCCTTTCTCTTGTATATATACACAGGGGTAGATTTGCTGGTCCTTGTAAGTGTGTGCTTAGCTTCATTAGAGACCTCCAGCTTTCCAAAGAGGTTGTTTTCTTATGTTTAATCTTTGCAACAACCGTAAGCGTTCGTCAGTCAGTTCACCGTTGCTTATTGAGCACCTACTATGTGGCAAGCACTGTTCTAGATGCTGGGATATAGCTACGAGTGGATAGACAAGGTCTCTGTCATTGAGGCACGTTCTCGCGGGGTGGGGGGTAGTCAGGCAATGTAACAGAAAAAAAAACAAAAAAGGGTAATATGCTGCAGGCAGTGTTCTAGGCCCTCGAAACGTAGCAGTGACCAAAACAGATGAACAGACTGCTGTCACAGAACAAGAAGAAAAGAGCAGGCAGGAGGGTCTGGAGGAGAAAGCAGAGGCCAGGTTAAGGAGGACCGGATAGATCATGGAAATGATTTTATCCGGAAGCAGTGGAAAGTCGCAGAAGGGCTGTAAGCAGAGACATGAAATGATCTAATTGACAGGGATGGGGTCGAGGAGATTCACTAGAAGGCCGTGTGATCCAGGCAGACTCTGGGCCAAAACTCTGTCTGCGACGGTGGAAGCCATGACAATGACCAGAATTCAGGATACACTTGGGAGGTTGTGCCGATAGAACTTAATGAACGATTCGTTATGGGGTGAGCGAAAAGAGGAATACAATTTAGATTCTAGATTCTTAGCCTGAGAAACGGGGTGGGTGGTGGTACCATGCCCCGAGACTGGGAGCACCGGGGAAGGAAGGAACTTGACGAAGAATAGCAAGAGTTCCATTTTGCTAAATTCGAGATGCAGACGAACGTGGGAGTGGAAACGTTCAAGAGGCAGGAGTTCGCGGGAAATAGTCTGAAGACCTACCTTTGAGAACCATCAATGTGTAGATGACTTTCAAAGGCCCAAGGCTGAATGACAGCACCTGGGAGGAGAGTATAGGCCACGAAGGAGCCGGCGGAAGAGTCTTGGAATATACTGAGAATGTCCAGTTCCATTTTACAGATGGGGAAACCAAGGCTCAAGGAGAGAAGCAAATTGCCCGAGGTCACACGGTGTGACAAAGTTGGTCTTATTTTAGAGTCTGCGTACTTACCCACTTCCCTTTAATGCCTGAGGTTTCTCACTTCTGCCACTTAGATGCCACATGACCGAACGTGAATTAGCTTTTGAGCGCCCCCGTTAGCTCGTCTACAAGGTGGGGATAACAATAATTATGCATACCACATAGGGCGGTATGAGTATCCAATAAATGAATATCATGAAAGCGCTCAGAACGATGTTGGCACACATTGGCGTCCGCTTGTGTCGTTCCGCGAGCCACCGCTAAGCACACGCAGGCCTCAGAGGCGGGAAGAGGTAACACGTTCCGAATCTGCACAGCCAAGGGGCGCCGGCTCAAGGTGACGGGGCCAGGAAGGTGTCGGGCTGGGTCTGAGGGAGGCAGGGACTCTTTTATACTTGTTCCAACAATCGGTCCCAGGGGCGAGGGTGGCCCCGGGGCCGTCTCCCTGGTGCGGGTGAGCCCTGCGACTTTGGGATCAGGTCAGTAACTGCGTGAGGGCGGGGCTGCAGGCAGAGGTCACATGGCCGCAAGGAGCGAAACCAAGCCTTGGGAATAGCCTTAGCCCCGAAAATGCACAGAAGTGTAGGCAGGAGCCCGGCTTAATGCCTTCTGTTTTGTCCTTGCTAGCATCTGATGCCTAACCATGTGGGGTGTAATAAATACATTTCGTCTTTGTCCCCAGTTCTTGGCACAAAGATCTTTAAGACTCTTGGGATTTCCTGAGTGACA